TGCCTGAGTGCTGGAGATGAGGCATACACTTATCCAGAAGTACCTTTCAGGAAGCTCCATCTGGGAAATAAATAACTGACAGGGAGCTTGAGCATTTGACACAGTTATCAGAGAGGATTTTTTCTCTTTTTTTTCCCCCAATACTTTATTAAAGAAATTTTTAAATGCACAGAAAAGCTGAGGAAATTCTACAGTTAACTCCCGTGTACCCTCTACCTAGATTCTACAACTAACATTTTGCTGTACTTGCTATAAATATCTCTCCTCAGCCCTCTGTCCATCTACCAAATCCAACTTATTTTTTGACGCAGACAGTGATGAAATAACCTAATACCCACGCTGAGCAGTCAAGGAGAAGAGGATCTGGTGACACACACGCAGAGGAGGATCATTTGAGGAACAGATGCTGGGGAACATGGTGACCCTGAAGCCAAACCACTTTGGCTTGGGGTCACTGCACAGTACTGCAGTGAGATTTGAGAGAAAAGACCACTGGGTTTGGTGACCTTTGGATGTGTATCAGTTGGGACACAGGGATGGAAGCCAGTTTTTCGGGACTTGAAAGAACAAGTGTCAAGGTACTGGATGCAGGAGGGGACAACCACTCATTTAAGAAGTTTAGCGATGAAAAGGAGAGGATTTTTGAATTTGTTAGAGTGGCGAGCTCTCAAGAGAAGACCATTTTTTCCTAAGACTGGGGTGATTTGTTTATATGTTGGCACAGGGCAAATAGAAAAGGACTTTTTGATTCTAAATCCCCTCTTGTAAATTGAGGAAAACAGATATCTTCTCCCGTGGAGAGACTGTGAGGAATAACTAATTCAAGTAATTGTCGAGTGCTCAGTGAGAAGTAGCTGAGTAACAATAAGGGTGGTAGCAGAGGTGCAGCAGATGATCAGGTGTGACTGCTTGAGTCTGCTGTTTTCTTCTTACTGAAATTAGCCTACATGCTTAAATGCAGTCGTTAATTCATTAATAATTATGATTTATATAAAATGGAATTAATTGCCTCTGTTACTGCTGTGGCAGTTATTAATGGAAGAACCTATTATCCCTCATTTTTAGGGAGAAATCAAAATGTGTCCTAACTGAAGAAAATCATTTTTTTCCTCAAGTCTGTAGTTCACATAGGGGGGAAGAGAACTTCCTAGGTGCTTTCTATATACTAGAGAGATGCTGTGTACTTTACATACTTTACCTCATTTAATACTAATTTACATGTGAGGAAAATTAAGGCTCAAATCCAAAATTCAAAATGCTTTGAAAACCGAAAGACTTTTTGTAGCTTGTTTGGCATCAAAACCTGAACTAAACTGACGTGAGGTTATTTATAGTCTTTGCTTATCTCACTTTGTGTGAGTATTCAGATGTTTTGCAATAGAAATATTAATGTCTTTGATTATTGGGTGCTCTCAGACCATGCTGAGGGTATCATGTAATATGTGATGTATGTACAGCGTAACTTCCTGCAAGTCCAAAACATTCTGAAATCTCGGACACAGAGTCATGCAATGAATCAGTGATGGACCTGAGTTTTGATCCCAGAACTTTCTGCTTCTGAAGGTGGTTTCCTTCCCTCTGTATTATCCTGTTTGATTTTGTAGCCCAGAGATTAACTGTATATTTATAGATGTTGTTTTAGTTGTTGTTCTAAAATGTACCTGGGATTTTGGTTTTATTCAGTTATGGTAAGACACCCAGACATGGAAATGATTGTCATGAAGGAAGAAGTTTATACTCAGAAACAGGAGGCATAGCATGGCATGCCACACAGGGCCACATGGGGAAGCACTTGGTCTGTCTGGAAGCAGAGGCTTGGGAAGAAAGCATGAAGCAAAAGCTTTTGTTGTGGTTTTTGTGGGAAGGAATAGGTGAGGTATGGTAGGCAAGATTGAGCAAGCTTAAGATGCATAGTTTGAGTAACTTTAGTGGACTCTGGGCTATAGGGGTGGTCTCTAGTTGTCCAGTAACTGGTCCTGGGGTGAGTAAGGCAGAGTAATACTGCTTCTGGAGTGTAAAAGCCAGAGAGAGGAGGTGGTTCAGAGTACATCATATGCTATATAAGACGTTTTGGTCAACAACAGACCACATATAGTACTATAGCCTAGGTGTGTAGTAGGCTATACTGTCTAGGTTTGTGTCAGTACACTCTATGATGTTCACCCAACAATACGTTTCTCAGAATGTATCTCTGCAGTTAGGGGAGGCATGACCGATTGGCTTTGAATTGGTTGGTCTGCGTATCAAAGGCATGCTTACAGGCAAGTTGTTTGCTATCTGTAGGAATTAGCTAGCGCTGGGAAGGACAGTCTTTCCAGGATTAGCAAGACCCGCCAAGATGTCAAAGCAACATAAAATACAGAAAATTGAAAAAAGGTTAATACATTTGTATATATGAAATAAAGTCTATGCAGATATTATTCACTGGGAACAAACATTTGTATTTTAGGGTGATTTACTGCTTGGTAAAAATAACAGTGATGTTCCTTTGGACTCCTCCCTGGGTATGATTTTTGTCACTGCTTTGAGCTCAGGGAAATTAACTGTCTATTTTCTTTCTCTTTCTGCTATAAGCTTTATATGCAATTATATATATTTTCAAGAAATGCTTGTGACCATCTTGAGAGTTGAATCTATGAAGTAATATAATTATTTTTAAAATAAACCTACTGGAATGTATATATTCGGATGAAGATTCTCCCCTTCAAAGCTATCTCCTGGGGACTAAGCATTTATTCCAACTTTCATCGTTGATCTTTTTTTGTTGTTTTTGTTTCTTGTTGGATTGTTTTGGTTTTGGAATTTCCTTCAGGGTCCCTTTTGAATATCTTCAGTGGTAGCTTCGTTTCATCCCTTGAAGTTCTTTTGGTTTTGGAAGTGGCCAAATGCACATTAAATGAAGTGAAAGATTGAGTTGATGTTATGATAAAAAAAAATTAGATCTGCCTGGAAGATAGTCAATAATGGGACTGATTTTCTTAGGTAGGCCTCAGACTGGCCCCCATCACACCTCTAAGAGGAAAGGTCCTCCAGTAGCTGGAGCAACAGCCACTCACCGAAAGTAAGGGCTCCTGAGGATTCCTTTGAAAAGGGTGGGCTACTTTTGATGAGTGGATTCAGATATGCTTGTTTGAAAATTGCCCTCTTTCGTGCATAAAGAAGGGAAATAGCTGAAGAAAATTAAAATGGGAGTGGAAAAAAACTAGGTGAACTTGCAATTGTAGGTCACCTTATAAAATACTATATAAGAAAGAAAATTAACAGGGAAGAATTATTAGTATATGAAACAATTGGATTTTCTTTCTCCAAAATAATAATCCCAAAGGACTTTTAGGCAGGTATCGAATGATAGAATATATAAGGCAGACATAAGTCAAAATGGCAGCCGTGTGTGTATGTGTGTGTGTGTGTGTGTGTGTGTGTGTGTAGTATGTAATTTCTAGACTCGTAAATAGATCTTTCTCATATAGTCCAGATTTTTCAGCAGATTAAGCATGCATGCTTTTTCTTCTGGTGTCCAAAATGTATAGCTTAACCCCTTCATTCTTCAGTTTTAATATCTTCTGGGGTACATTCACCAATCTTATACCTCTCTTTTGCTCTCATAATTGTTTGCGCAAAATTTGATTTGGGCCCTTTGCATTGTATTTGTAAATTATTTATTTGGAGACTTTCTCTTGCCCTGGTTTGTTTATTCCCAAAGGGCAGGGGCTCTGATTTTTATCTTAGGATAATGTCTGTTTCAGAGAAAGTTCTCATTGATATTTGATATTTGAATTTGGAAAATGGGCCTTGAAATGAGTAGCTTTTGATTAGAAGACATCTCTAACACAGTACAATTCCTGGGGAGGCCCGAGGCTGACTGGTGGTCCAATTTGATTCATAAGTTTAGAGAACACATAGGAAATGAGTATTTAGAGAATTGATGTTCTCCTTGTAGAGGCCTGGTGGAGAAAGCTCAGTTGTTTCCTCCGTGAATCATCCACAGGAGATTTTGAATTCTAGGTCAGCCTCTTGCAGTTCACCCGCTTATGGGTTGCTCCTCACCCACCACCATCCCCACTGCCCAGACTGTCAGCTAAGCTTAGATTATACAAATAACTTAAATTTTAGTCCAAGTAAGACACAATTAGGAAGGTAAATCTTCTGGAAAAAAATTATATGGTATATTTCCAAAGTCAAATATTATTTCCTTTGGATTATCCACATACTGTTCTGCTTCATTAGTGCAGATCGCGACTGTCTGTGTTCTTTACAAATAAAAGATTTACGTTGTGATTACATGTGACTACCTGGTATTTGTCCCTAAAACCTAAATGAATGGAATGCCGCCTGGTTAATACAACCTGCATGTAAACACAGACTTTATTGGTGGTGTACTCTCTTTTATTAAAGCTATGACAGTGACAGATTATTGCTTATGTGAAATTTTTTGTGGAAAAGTTAATGGTTGGGATATTTTAAGGTATTATATAATCAAAGCAAGAGACTGATTTTCTTTTTGTGGAGTGTGATGAAGAGGGGTGTTCTTGGAAGAAACAAAACCATATTATCATCATTGTAGTAATCAAAAGATTTATCCAGTGTGCACTCACAGAGCTCTTTTGTTGCTCTAATCTTTAGTACTCATATGGTCATCTTCCACATTAGCTGTCACTGATATGCATAGTTTATCACACAACCTGGGTCTTTAAAACCAAAAGATCAGCTGTAAGAAACCGTCCTCACTGATCTCTTTGCACTTACTCTTTGCAGCTGCACTAACAGGATTTCCTCATGTTGGCATAATTTGTCTGAGTTAAGGCAAAGTTACCATTTAACATAGTTTCGTCTGATCTGTATTTCGATGGTACTAAATAGACTTTCTTAAAAGGTCTTAAAGAGTCTTCTGAAGCTAATTATCTGTGGAAATTATATAGGACTAAAATCATGGCACTTAGTAGCTATGAATGTCGTATGAATCCTCAAGTAAAATAATGCAATTTTTTTTCTGCATTTAGTTCTCTTGCAGCTGGCAAGTGATGCTTTACCAAATGACATGACCCTGGCTCTCGCTTATCTCCTTGCCTTACCACAGGTAAGCTTACCCCTACCAAGAAAGAAGGACTTGAAAACGAATAAACTAAAAATCTATACCGGGGATTTTCATCAGTAAAATTGTTTATTATAATTGTTTATTTTATATACATATATACTTGTATACATACATACATACATGTATATACGTGTAATGTTAATCCTACGATATTAGCTGAAATGTTGATTTTAAATCTACTTTTACATGTATGGGATCTGCCTTTATAGTGTCTTCTGAATTTTAATGTTGTCATATTAAGTTGAGTTTGAGTGGATCTGATGGAAACTTTGAAACAAAATTCTACAGTAATGACTAGAAATGTATTGGTTTATGATGATCTTGTTAATTTCTTTCAACTGAGTCTGTTCTGTCATGTTGCCTCCTAGATGTTAGATGCAAACAAGTGCTTTGAAAAGCAGTCCCACTCTGCTTTATCTCTCCAGCTGGCAGCATATTACTATAGCCTACAGATCTATGCCCGATTGACTCCATGTTTCAGGGACAAGTGCCATCCTCTATACAGGGTGAGTCCTCATGGTTTCCACCTTATTAATGAGCAGAGTTAAAGCTTTTCTCTAGTAGGTAAAACATGTGTCTACGTCTTTGGAGAGACTGATCCACTTTGTATCCAGAAGGCATTCCCAGTGACTGACAGCCCTTGCCTTTTTCTGTGTTAGATGTAGTTGCTTTTCCAGGCATCAGTAAGAGGTAGAGTTTCTAATATTTATTGTAAATGACGATTCTTCCTCTAACTTTTCTTTCATTTACTTTGTTTTACAAAGTTTTAGGGAAGGCTAAAATAATAGGAGAGGAGAAATGGAGAATTGGCTTTTTAATTCACTGCCTGAAAGGAAGATGGCTTTGTCTATTTAGGACAGTCGGCAACATAATTCTTTGAGCAGTGCTGTACTTTTATTTATTTTTAACTCAGAGATATGAGAGTAGTAATGATACAGGTGAAACGTATTGGGTCTACTTGCCGCCAAGCTTCAGACAACTTTTATATAACTCTATGTTTAATTTCTGAGCTACAGCACTTAAGCATGGCCTCAGGTTACACGTGCCTTCTTTTGTGGACACCAGGACATTACAGATGCCACTGGAAAATCAAAGCCCTCCAGGTTTACTTATGTATAGTGTCTAGACCAGTGTCTAGACCACTATTACTGGTGTATAGACCAGTTTTAAATTGTCAGCATTGGGAAATTATCTACTTTTCATGCTAGATCATTTTAAGAGATTTACCACTTTAAGAGTAGATAAGCAAATAAATCAGACTTTCAAATCTACTATACGTACAAATCCAAGGTCCAAATTTTATTGAGGCAGGATTCTTCCTCTCCTAACCCAAATCAGACTGTAAAGAAATAATTTCACGTGTGTATCAAAGTTCTAGCTGCCTTAGCCATCTAAAACATATCCAAGAGCCTGTAAGTAGGTGAAAAATTCCATTTGTGGCAAAATCCATGGCTTTCATTCATCAATTTTTATTTAAAAAGAGGAAGAGGAGTGGGGGGGCATCCACAGCGCAGGCTGATCTCCCAAGGGCAGCATCATTATTAGGTGTGTTGTTCTTAGGCATAGTTTTGTTATGATGACATGTGGCCAAGAAACAGGAATGTTTTCTTGTTCTTAGCCAGTTAATATAAGGTATTACTTTATTTGGGGAATTATGAATTTTGCTTTTGATAGCTACTGCTGCTTTGTCCCGTTAGTTTATTCTATACTCTAGTAATTTTCTTTTGTTTGTTTTATATCTCTGGTGTGTTTTTATGTGAGATTAGAAATTGACCTACTGTGTTATAAATTGAGGAAATGAAGTGATTGTATTGGTGGAAGTGTGGCAGGTTTATTTTTGGAAGTGTACTTAACGTCTTTCTTCTTACCTTCAGTTGGGTGGCTGGTAAAGAGTGTTTATGGCATGTTTGCTGGTGTCTGCTTCTAAATACCGTTATCTTTTTATTAGTGCTGTGTATATAAACAAGTACCAAATAATTTGCTCGAAGACTCCAAATGTGTTGAAATGCAATGAAGCTTTACTTTAACCAAAAAGCATTGTGCCTTGTTACAAACTTGAATTTTTTTCCCCAACAAGTCAAATGTGTCCTCAAAATGTATTTGACTGAGATTTCTAAGTGGATACCATTGAGATGGGATCCAGTTGCTGAGATGGTGTCTCTCTCTTTTGTTTCCGCGTATGTAATCTGTGTTAAGGTCATGCTGCGTGCCTAGTACTGTGCTCCCCCTTTCATGGACACAGAGGATCGAAAGGCCGCTCAGTCAGTCAGCTGGTCTATCACTAAACCTCCGTGAGCACCTCACGTGTGCCAGAGTCGCCTGCTGAGTGTGTATGTGAAGATGTGGAGATAACTATGGCCTGCTGCCTGACCTCAGTGAACTCGCTGCTTACTGTAAATCTGTATAAGACAGTGATATAAACGTGGATTAGAGGAGCTGTGAACAGGAGGACTGAAAACGTTACAAGACAGACCACAAGTTAAAACTTCTAAGAAAGCCAAAAAACTTGCTGCAGAGCCACAGTTTGGCCTGTAATCTTGTTTCATTTCCTAAAAATCTTAATTAACGTAGTCCTCCTGGAGGAATATTCTCGTACAAAAATAACAAATTTTTTCCTGATTTCTCTGATAGTAAATTAACTTTGTATCAAAAATTAAAAGTCTCAAATCATGTACTGTTTGTGAGAGAGATAAGTTAGGAGAAAACCATTACATTCCATCCCAACTTTTGTATCTGGCCATCTCTGTTCCCTACCTCAGATACCACAGTCGCTTTATAAGAAATGCTATTTAAGATTTCCACAACTAAAGGAGGCAAAGAGATAAAGTAGAACATTGAAAGATAAGGGTTAGAAGTAAAGGTGTGTCCATCTTGGTTTCTTCCATGTTCCCAGCAATTCTTTTCACTTGATAGAAAGTGTGTGTATTTTATTTCTAGTTCTCATATTTTGTATATCCTTTCATCGATTCAGCATTTGTTGAGTACCTACTATGAAGGACGTAGGGCTTGGCATTGTAGTATGAAGAATAATGAGACTTGATTCCTGCCCCCTTTTACCCTTTAACCCAATTTCTGTTTCTTCCTTCCAAGAGTGTCAGCCCACCGTCACTGCCCTTTAACTCTTGGTCTTTTTCCTGTCATCATTTTCCTATCAAACTGTCCTTCCCTTGAAAGATAACCCTTGCAGCTCTCCTGTCTCGCCCTAGCCCTTGGCCCCTGATTCTGGTTGTTAGACTACTCACCTACCCTGTGGCGTGGTTCGTGACACCTGTTGCCATTCTCTTTCTGGGCTCAGCAGTATAAGGCAGCTGCTGTTCAGGGTCTTCGCTTGAGGAAGCAGCATCATATCCTAGCGGGAATAGAAGCCAGTACAGTCCATGTGGCCCAGTGGTGATGCCTCCGCACATGATATCTAACTCCTCGGCTGCTCCAGACAGAAACAAATGTGCCCTGCAATAGCATTAAGATGGCACATGGCCAGGTCATGAGCCAGCTAGTTCTCCAATGACTTCTTGGCAACTCTGTGGAAAATGTTTGGTTGTTAGTTTGAGAGATGAAATGAAGAGTTAGAAAGTATCTAGGATTTTTTTTCACTTCAAGATGTATAGACATTCTGAAACTCTTCCAGATGTATCTATTAAGAAGGAGTGGGGGAGAGTTTAACATCTCTCCAGTTGTTTTCTCCTCTCTACCCCACGTCCTCACCTTGATTCAGTCTTCCATAGTTCTTCACCTAAACTACTGTAATAGCCTCTTAAACATCACCCTATCTTTATTTTTGTTACTTTTATATCTTTTTCCAAGCATCTGTCAGAGTAGGCTTTCTCAAATGGAGGTCTAGTCTTCCTGTCTTCTGCCTGAAATCCCTCCTTGGTTCCCTATTGCCCCAGCAAGGTCTGAAGGTCCCCCATGGTCTGGCCTCTGTCTCCTTCTCCAACTTCATCTTCCTTTGCTCCAGCCATACCAAGCCACTTAAATTTCTCAAACACCCTGGGTGTTCTCTGTTTCCTTGTCTTCAGACATGTTGCATCTATGCCTGTAATGTTTTCCCCCTCCATTTCTTTGCTTAGCTGCTTGGGTCAGGTGTTACCTCACCCAGGCATGGTTCCTGCCACTGCCGCCCTTCTGTGGTGCTCCCAAGCTGTGTTGGGTGCTCCTCCGTGTGCTTTTGTACTGCCCTGTACTTACCTCAGAGCACTTATACTCTGTTATTTTGAATTTTTATACTTTTCTTCTCACTAGATATGAGCTGTTTGAGGCCAGTGTCTGTGTTGTGTTTATTGGATTTCCCAATGCTTAGAGCAGGGCTTGAATATAAAGGGTAGTAAACACAGTTCACTGGGTAGATTACTGAAAATTAATGAATATTCTTCAGTACTTATGAAATAATTGAATTATGTGTGTGTTCATCAAATATTTATCAGGTGACTCTTTTATGCCAGGCAGTGTTCTAGAGCTTGGGGAAACACTAGTGAACAAAGTATTTAAAACCCTTGCCCCTTTGGGACTTACATTTTACTGGGAAAGGGGCACCATAAACAAAATAAATAAATGAAACATATACTATGTTAGATGGTGATAAGACCTATAAAAACAAAAAGCAAAAGATAAGTGTGTGTCTCTGTGTGTGTGAAGAGTACAATTTAAACAGGCTCAGAGGAGGCCTCCAGTGAGAAGGGGACCTTGGAGTACAGACAAAAGGACAAGCGCAGCACCTTGCAGATGCGTAGGGGAAGAGCATCCAGACGGGACATAGCAGTAACAAAGTGTTGAAGTATCGTGGTGCCCGTCACGGGTACTGTGGTAGTGTCTCACAGAGCATTTGAGATAGTATTGAAATTTTACTATTTAAAATTCAGGGCATAGGGAAAATGATAGAAGTGCAGTCTGTGACCAGACTTCATGGTGATCGGATAGGGTCTCTTCTCTCTGGCTAAGAAAGTGTCTGGAGGGGGTGTGACAGCAACAGTCAGCTTAGGGGCTTGTTTTTTGTTTTTTTTTTTGTTTTTTTGAGGAAGATTGGCCCTGAGCTAACATCTGTTGCCAATCTTCCTCCTTTTTTCCTTTTTTCTCCCTGAAGCCCCCAGTAGATAGTTGTATGTCATAGTTGTACATCCCTTTAGTTGCTCTCTGTGGGATCCTGCCTCAACATGGCTTGATGAGGTGTGCCTAGGTCTGCGCCCAGGATCCGAACCGGTGAACCCGGGGCCACCGAAGCAGAATGTGCAAACTTAACCGCTATGCCACCGGCCCAGCCCTTAGGGGCTTGTTTATAGGAGTTGTCAGTGAACAGTAGAAAGATCAGACTAACTCTAAAAAGGCGTTGGCTGTCTTAAAGTACTTTTCAATATTCGTTCTGCCATTTGATCCTTTGAGCAATTTCATTTTGCAGAAGATAAGACTCAGAGAAATTTGGTTACTTACTCAGAGCGACTCTGGTAGAAAGTGACATCCTGTGACTCAGGGCTCCTGATTCCAGGTTTGATCTGCTTTTTGTACTTGGACA